GCTGGGCAGCAGCAGCTGAGGGGAGGTTTAAGAGGCATCTGCAGCAGGTGGGGAGGTAAGCACTTCTGTGCATCAGAGGCCTTGCATACCCATGCAACAGCTGAATATGGTCTCCAAGACTACATCTCTGTGAACAAATCACATTTTCCATTAAGAAAGAAATGGGTGCTCAGCTGGACACTGCTTCATGAGCCCTGGAACAGTTACCTATTATCATAACTGAAAATATGACTACAAGTAACACAGCTTTGTATTTCAACTTAGGAGTATCTTGGCTGATTTTTAATTGTTTATTTAAGCAATACAAGAGAGGAAGTGGAAATAAACAGGTTCACATGTATTGTCAAACCTGTTGTTCATCTAGTTTTGGGGGCATTTTAAGATGTCACAGCCACCAAATTTATACAGCAAAGACCATTATTGATAGCTGAGATCAGAACTTGGCTTGTTTTCCATGATGCTGCTACAGAAGAGCGGGGATGCTCCTGGGATCCCATCTTATTTTAATCAAGCGGGCTTGTTTATCCTAAAGAGAAGGAAGGCTATGAGACGCTTCTAGCAGAGTACCTGTGTGTATGTAGCAATTCATAGACAGTCCAGAAAGAAAACACCAGTCTGAGCAGCCTTCAGGCATACACCAACAGTGCATTTTTCAGATAGATAATAAGGCCATAAAAATAGAAACATTAATTAGGTGCATGGAATATGGGCTGAGGTGAGAAAGATAAGAAGTGCAAATTCTACTGAAGTCAAGCATGAACTCCTTCATGTGGTCCTGGAACAAGGAAGGTAGTTTCTTGCTGAGGGAACTGCTTGTGCAGTACAATAAACCAAAAGACAATAGCTTCCTTTCTACACCAAGCAGCAGCGTGGCAGGCACATTATTACAGAGGCTGGAACAAGCAGGGGACATGCCACTTGGAAGAGAGCAGGCTGATCTCAAGCAACAGGAAATGTCAGTGACTGTGGCAGTAACACCATCCCCTTAACAGAGCATTTACATCAACTTCATAGACATTGACAAAAGCTTTTGCTAAGATGACAGGTAGCATCAATTGGCAAGTAATGGGATATTACAGAATCCCAGAAAGACAGATAGGAGTATGGAAATATGTTGAGAGGGATCTTAGCATGAGCAAGGTCACATTAGCTTCCTTCAAACCCACTTGAGATAAGGGATAACAAGCAGTTTTCTTTTCCTTCACTGTTTCTTTCATAATTTGTTACTGGGTAAAGACTGACTTGATCGGTAAAAAGTTACACTGGACACAATCACAATCACAAAATACGGGTTTCATTGATAGTATCAGCCTAAATACCCAAATACCACAAAATTATATTAGGAAAGTTGAGGCAATAGGAAGAAGCACCTTAAAAAATACTGGAAGGGTGTGGGTTTTATTAGAAGGAGGAGAAATAATACAGGAAAGCACATAATACAACAGGCTATTTGGGAATGATTCCCATGCACATTGAAGAGCCCAAAAGGATTGCTTTCCTCTGAAGGACAGTGGGGTGGAAGAGAGCCAGTAAGGAAAATATCCTTAATGGAACTGAAGATGTGAACCTGACTTTAATTCTTCAGAGAACAGTTCAGGTCTTACAACAAAAGGGATTGACAACCAAATTGTGCGTCTTTAACATGCATGTCAAGTCCTTATAATTCAGTGAGTTGCCAAAACAAAGTAATAGAAAGTGGCTGATCAAGAGTTTTCAAGTTAATAAGGTGATATCTACAATGTAGTTTAGATGTTCAATTATCTTAATGGATTATAAACAAAGGCTTGCACAGAACACTTAGTAAAAGGAGAAATTGAATGGATACACCCTATCCAAATAAACTGATATTATATATTGAACACCCTTCTAATGGTCACACTAGGGACACAGTGTGATGAAGACCCAAACCATCCTGAACAGGAAGATGTAAGCACTGATTTCATCTGGAGTCAAACCAAACAATGTATCAAGGATGAAAATACATAGAGAACTATTTACCAGCAAGCCTTCTGCTTCCTGGTAATGACAATAAGATGGACCTACCATGCAGGCTCTTTGTGAAGGTTTGTGAAATTAACTACAGCTCAAGAATAAAACGGATGGATTGTAGCAGGAAGAAGAGAAAAGGGAAAATGTGAGTCCTACCTGAGGAGTTACAGCATTGCCTGCCAAAGCATTAGAGATTTATAAAATTGGCTTAACTAAAGAAATCAGAGATACATAATTTGACTGCAACTATTTCAGTGTGTGGACATTTATAACAAGCATAAAGATTTCTGAAAAGCAGTAGAAATCATACTACATAAGAAATATAAAAGAAAGAAGTATGCATTCAAGAGCACAGCTGTGAGGGAGTATTTCAAGACACTGTTTCAATGTTTACATCTACTCTCTCAACAAGGGTAGAAATAACAATAATAATTTTAACTAAAGCTACTCTCTGCGGGGGCAGGGGGGAGGTAGTCAATAAAATGAATGAGTTCCAACATTACAGAAATGCTCTTTTCACCTAGACTGACTGCCTCCAACTGTAAGATATACATAAATCCAGACCCTTTGGACATAGAAAAAAATATCTACAGGGCATATTTTGCATATCACCATAATTTGACAGTCTGTGATTTCTCAAGAAAACAGAAATGTGAGAAACATTTTGACAGTTCAGTCTAATTCCAGAATTCTTTGACTATGTAGTTTCTACTTGTGAGTGGTGCACATAAAAATTATTTCCCTCAACCTAAAGAAAAGGGGAGTTAGGTTTTGGGGCTTGTGGGGATTTTTTGTGGATTTTTTAGGTTTTTTGTTGTTGTTGTTGTTGTTGTTTGGGATTTGTTTGTTTGTTTTGGGGTTTGGGGTTTGTTTGGCTTTTTAGGGGTTTTGTTTGTTTGTTTGTTTTTATGGGGTTTTTTGGGGGGGTTTTTTGGGTTTTTTTTGCTATGAAGTGAAATCCCTTTCGCATCACTAAACAATATTGAGCTAAAATTTATTTTATACACAGCTTTCTGTGACAAGATATTTGTGAGATGTTGTTCAAGCAACACATGTGGGTTTAATTAAACTGGCATGACTTGAGGATCACTTGCAAAGATTTCTTCCATGATAACAACAACATACGGAGTATTAAAGTACAAATAATGTTGTTGCCCTCCACATAGATAATAGATATGGTAAGAAAAGGTCATCCTATGGACTGTAACAGCTACTCTGAGTACAAGAGCAGCATCTTTGCAAAGCATGTGCTCCTCTATCCTAATCCAGAATCACATGGCAATTTTCCTGCCCCAGGGTTCAGACTAGAATAACTCTGAAAAATTATACAAAGGCAGCTAGACTTCAGAAATCATGAATGAAAAAATAAAATAATCATTCTCAATATCATTGGGTAGAAGAAAACACACACACAAGCTATTAAAGGTAGAAAACCATTAGGGGGAAAAAACAAAGACTGGGTTTTATAAATTACTTAGGTTTTATAAATTACTTTAGGAAATTAGGTGGAATTTGGTTATTATTCTCACTTAAAATTTCCAGAATATCATTAAATATTTTTTGCTTTCAAACTTCTGGTATCTGACCTGGCAAGACACCTTCACAATAGCATTTTTTGTTTCTAAACACTAATTATCTTTTGAGACCTAGATTTAAGGTGCCAATTATACATGACCTGCATACTTCAATGCCAAAGTGTTCAGCAACAAACTCTAGGGCAGGCTGTTCCAGCTTCTTGACAAGAGGAGATGAGTTTTTGCTACTTACTTGGAGGCCAGATGGGAAAACCACCTTGTAATGTTATGGAAAGGTGAAAGATCCCAAAAAAGTCAGACAGAACTGATTTGTGAACAGCCCATGGAGAGCTCTAGCAGTTTAAATTTCTGCAAAACAGAAATCTTCTGGTTTTATTCTCAGATCAGTAAACAATGGGCCACGTGGAATAAAATATAGAGGATTACATGGTTGGTTACTTCTTTCCCCAGTTTACCTACAAATACGGCTGCCTGCACATACTCAGCAGAGGGGTGAGTTTCCAAGATTTTCATCAAAATTTCAAAGAATCTGGAACCTCTCAATTTCTCAAAAACAAATTGCAGTTGTAAGGAGCCTGGTCATATCTCGAGGTTTGCTCATGTACCTCATGGAGAACTTGTGAGAATTCACTAGGTGGGACAGGAGTTCATACAAAAAGGTATTCAGCATGGCTCACAGTCCATCCATGTCGATTCCTATAATCATGAGTAACAGAGCTGAATCTTAGAGACACTTCATTACTTGGTACAAGAGGCAGAGCAGAGCATAAGCTAGGGACTATGAAAGGCATGCTGCAGAAGCATCTTCTCTTACCTCTAGCAATATTCTGTATACAAAGAAACTGCCTTAAAAGCATCTTTTCAACTCCCTCCTATTTGCATATTTATTAAACTCACATTTATCTTATTTTCAGGGGGAAAACAGAAGAGCTTGATTTTTTTAGGCCAGAATCTCATCTCCAGCCTCCACATCTTATAACCTGTCATTTTCAAAAGACATCCTTTTTTTTTTTTTATCATCCAGTTGGCAGGCAGTTTGACTCCTGTACTGATTGGTAAAAATTTAAGGCAATTTTCCTAGGATTTTTCTCTTTCCATTTTGCACTGCCCAGCTCTGGCAGGTTTCATTCACCCCACCTACATTTGGGAGTGCTGCCTTACACATTACCAAATGAAGCTCCACACCAGCCCATATTATAACACTGGTCTGGATCTCCATCATCTTTTGGGCCATACTGTTTGCCCAGACAGATCTGCTTCTGGTGAAATGCTAATAAAATTCTTGCCAAAAAGACATCTCCCTGCTTTTTTCCAAATTAGCAAAAAGGCATAGAAAATATTGATGATTTTTTCTTCCTGGAATATTCTCACACTCTTTCTAGGAATAAGCAAGGACATCTCTTTGCCATCCCATTATTTTACATGTGCACAGTTACAAGAAAATGCTCTAAAGGGACATCAAGCAAATAATACCAATTTTCAAAATTCTATAGCAATATATTTATACAAATTACAGAATTCTGTATGCATTTACACACCATTACAGAATACCAAGTAAAAATTACACCAATCATTCTTTTCTTTTTCCCTCAGACTTTTCTTCAAATCAATTTTAGTGCTTGAGAAAGGTGCCAGATGGACAGCACTAGAAGGTGAAGATTTCTGGTTTTCCACAGCTCGGGAGGCAAGACACTGGAAGCCTCCCTGCTTTGCCGTGTCTGCTCCCTGCAGCCCTGTTTTAGCAGGATCACATAAGGAGCAGGAGGGTGTCCATACCCCTTCACACCTTGGCAAAGGAGCTGAGCAGCACCCAGGTGACAATTGTTTTGCCCATCCCCCACCCAAAACCAAACAGAAATAGCTCATTTTACACAAGGGACTGAACAGAATCTGTAGTTTGCTACCCTAAACAGGCCAAATTTGACCTAGTGAACCTGCAGGGAGTGGCAAACTGCCAGCTCCTGGGCCTTCCAGTCTTGCAATAATGCCTAAGTTAAATTACATGTTTCTATATTTACATAAAGTCAGTATTTACACACCATTACGGGTTATTCGAGTAAATCGGTTACAGTTTATTTAGGACTGCTATAAACTCATAACATTTTTCTCAAGTTTAATCCTTTCTGTAGAAAAATACAAAAAAAAATAAATTAAATAAAACATGTTAACTAGTAGTAATGATTAGCCTATGACTAAAAAATCCAAGTCAATTTAACATTAAGACTTTAACTGTGGCCTAGTATTGCGGCCTCAACTGAGAGTAATTTTAACCTTTGCAAAGAATTTCCTGGTGTATGTCAGATTTACTGAAACAGCAGAGGGTTGCAACCTCCCTTCCTCATGGTGGGCTTGATGCATTTACCACAGGGCAATGAGCCCTAGTCCTGCCCAGAAACGCCTTTTCTTCTCCTACAGTCTCTGCATTGCCCACACAAATGATCCAGCACACGTCCGACCCCAGCAGCCGAACCATCCGCAGCCCCAAAGGCTGGGAGACAAACGCGTGGGCTGTAGCTGAAGGCTGTAAATTCCCAGGCAATAACAGTCCCTAGACAAGTATCCTACAAATCAACTAATGTAGATAACGTCTCTTTATCATCCATGAACAATTACAACAAAGAGCCTTGTTATGTTTGAGATCAGTGATATCGCCAGTTCAGACATGGCTCCTCCTACCTGCTTCATGGAAAGGGAACGTTTGTTCAGCACACCGAGCCAGAGGTCATTCCAGAACAGAAATAAGCTTCAAATAATATAAATCAGATGAACAAGAGTGCTGTAGAGCAAACATTTCTTAATTACTCATAGGCTACAACCCTTTACATCACTCCTCCAAAGGATTCCCCGTGCGTATGCAGACAGCCAGGGCATCAGGACCAGTCCTGCTCCCAACATATCCAATGATGAAGGCCACACTCAACTTAATGGCACTGGATTGAAATCCTAAGGGATAAAACAACTACAAAATGCATTTGTCATATGGATCTCAGCATGGTTTTTGTCTATTTTTTCCCCCTTTTCTTCAGAGTATTAGGGGAAAAAATGCCTCTTCCTGAGGGTTAATTTCCAAATAGTAACAGCTAATCAATGTGTTTGTGTGCTTATCTTAAAATGCTACATACCCTTAAATATTACATACTGTTTCCTCACTTAGGGTTCATGAATATTTGAACATACTTTAGGAAAAACAATAAAAATAAGTCTAATACTGTCCTCCTTATTGTCATTATTGATAGAGATTTATTAGTTTCATTTTGCAAGTTTTACTTTAGGAAGGGTGCTAATATCATGTATTATGACAGTTCACACTGAAAGCAATTTTCCATAAAGGTATTACAATGACCCCTATGGAACTTGTATAATTTCATAGTAGATAGTCAAGTGCACAAATAAACATGTTTACAAGAGTGATCCTGTTAACCTGGTTCCTGCCCTCTGAAATATGTGTTCTTTTTGGAATCTTAAGATTAGTATAATTGTTGTTGGTATTACTTATGTTGTTTCTGACATTCTCTTTAGGAAAAAAATAGCATATTTATCATTTAGCTTTGGTATAATCTGCAATAGGTTTTAACAAGTAGAATATATTCCAACTCCTATATTTTCCACAGCTGTGAAATTTACAATGATGTAAGAAGTCGCTTTATCAGAGAGGAAATATTACAGACACGTAAAAAAAAGTTGAAGACCCAGTTTTCTCTTTAATCCTCTGGGGTAAGCTATGAAACAAGCAGTCAGAAGAGTGAGGATTCAGTGTCATGAGTGGTGTGCATACTTGTACAATAATACGGGCACAAAAGAGATTGTCACCTTTAGTACATGAGGGTCACTAGAATTTATTATTATTACCTTTTTATTGTTGGCTTTTTTTTTTTTTATCCATGCACTTTTATATTTACTTGCATGAATTTACCACAGGTTCATAGTGGCCTTTGCCATTTCAATGCTTACAGAGCCTAAAGCTTCCAAAATGCCTATCTGGCCTGTACATATTTCATTAAAAATAAACTCTATATAATAAATAAATATATAAAATAAATAAAATGTTGCCTTTGGAATTTCTATAAATAAATTTAACTTTTTATTTTTATTTTTTTACTAAGAGGTCTTTGCTTTAAACTCAGTGGGGTGAGACCCAGTGAGTGATTAACTGAAAAGTCTCTTGTTTAAGACTGCACCCTCCATGCCTTTGTAAATGCAGCGTACACTTGAGCAGGCCACCAGCCAAAAATCCTGATGAATCGAAGTATGGCAGCTATGCTGATATATGACGAAGTACAACTGATCAAAAATTTAAAAGCGTGTCTATTCCCCAGCATGCATCAGGCCTTCCTCCTCCTCACCCTCCTCCTCCCCTCGGCTCCTCTCTCTCGCGCTCTCACTCCCATTCATCCTCTCCCTTTCTCTCTCTCTCGCACTCACTCTCTCGCGCTCCCTCTCGTACTAAATCAAGCGAGTGGGCATAGGCTCTCCTCCAGGAGGACAAACCTTTAAGTGCAGAACAAAATCAGCATGTTCCATCCAAGCCTCCATCATACATTATGCATGCGACAAAGTTTGGCAACAGTGGAGCTGATGTGATGACACAGCTAATCAATAAGAACCCACCGCATGAAACCTTTATAGTGGTTACTTTTTAAGGGCTCAAGTGAAGGAATTGTCTTTGTCAACTTTGGCTTAAAATATCCTTATATAGTTCTGGTACTTTCTCAGGGTCCACTGGTCTAGGTAAAAAATGTGTAAATTTTTGATGCCGTTTAGTCCTAGTCCCTTCTCTTGGAGTCCCATCTTTATTTAACGCAACGTAGTATCGTCTTCCAGTGTCCACATGTTTATATAGATTTGATGAATATGTGTTATACCAGTTTTCTTCAAATTGCTCTCTGAATACACACTCCTGGGTTAATTTTTCCTGTGGAAAGAAAAGAAAGAGCAGTAAGGAGACAGCCACTAAAATAAGCTACTTGTTAAAGAATCACTATTTTAATGGCTTGAAACTGGTATCTCCTTGCTAAATTGCAGAACAAACTGTTTCAATTCTCCCAGTTTTAGCTATGAAGATCTGTATTGCTGGGTATTTCAGGAGGCAGTCAGAAGGGTGGATAACTATGTGAAGCAAAAATGACTCTCAAAGCCTCATTGCCCAAATACTTTTTATTTCTGATATTTCCGAAGCAGCTCACAAGACCTTACTGGACTTTTGTAATGAGTTGTTTCAATGGTGAGTGCAGACATTCAAATAAACAGATATAAATAAAAGAAACCAGAACCACTTTGCAGAGCTGTAACAAAGCTGACAATCTTAAAACCTCTATATAGATTCAATGCATGGAGAACTTGATGCATTTCATTAATTTAAAAACATGCAATTTGCTATCCATCATTTGATTTATTATTTGTATCATGAAGCCACAATCCAACAGAGCTTCAAACAGGAATATGAACTCTGTGTGCTGAGACAAAGTAGGCAAGAAAAACCCCTCCGGGTTTGCATTATCGGGGTTGTCCTTGTGTCCCATCCTACTGAGGACAGGACCCACTGAAGCTATCAACCATTCATCAGGTCCCCCTGCCACCACAGAATCCTACTCCTTCCATTTGACCGACTTCTTTAGTCTCTGTGATGCCTTCTACATCCTTAAGATTGTTTAACTTTGCCTTTTAATTTTTTTTTTAATAGAGTGCTTAAAATGTAGCCACCTGATAACCAGATTCATTTTAGGAAGGACTCATACAAATTACTGGGAAAAATGATAGTGAGCATGGGAGAGCTGATGGAAAGCTGGGAAAAATAAGCCTGAAAATAGTCTTTTCACCAGGCACAAGAAAAAAATGGTGATAATTCAATGTATTTTTCATAACAAGCAATCAATAGCACTCACATCAACTACACCCAGCTTCCAGCTGGGGACCAATTCCTAATTATTACAAAGCTCCATACAATGCATGTGTTTTACAGACACTAAATTTTAAACAGTCCTTTTAGATAGGAGCATGGAGATGGGAAAACCGAGACCAAGGCCCAGATGCAGCAAAGTATCTATGGCACCTAAACCATAAACTTGTGCCTGCACATAACTAAAGAGCCACAGCTCAAGCACTCCTAAGAAACCACCTTCCATGACCTTACCAAGGAGCTTCCCAAGGTCTACCATCAACAAGGCTCCTTTGGGGCTACCTCTGCTGCTTGTGACTCAGCTCACAACCCTTTCCCAAACCAATGTGCTTTGGCCCACGTTTCACTGCTGCTTTGTGTGGCAAGCACTCTGCTCCCAGGGCAGCCCTCCTGGGCTGGGGACAAGCGAGGTCCAAGGAGCCCTACGCACCTTACAAAAGCCACCCAGGAACTATCCCAAGTGGAGGAAACAACCCTGTGCAAATGGGCAAAGGAAGTCAACACCCCTCTGCACCTGTACAAACTGGGTATTGAGCTGCAAAGACAGAGTCCTCCTCAGGCCCTCCCAAACACTTAAAGGTTTGGGATTTGGAGGGTTCTTCTAAATTAAATTTGTGGGAACTCCAGTGGGCAAGAAAGGCAGCAAGTAAGCTGCTCCTGACTTCCCCTTTAATGGGCACTAGATACTTCATTACCACTCAGGAAGTAGAAATCCCAGACAGAACCTGGTTTCAAATGTTCAACACCTGAAAATTCACTATGGCAGTGACAATATCCCTTTGTGGATGTGACAAATTTTTTTTTGAGCCATTTCTGACTATGACATTTTTAGTTCAAAGTACTTCAAACGCAGAAATAGTCTCCACTGGTTATAGGCAAAAGAAGCACAAATCTGTTCACATTAAACCCTTATGTGTGGGCCATACCCTGCAACCTCCTATTGACAATTGCCTCTATGTCCTTTGCCAGCTTGAAATCACAGCTGCATTGAGCATCACCAGACCAGCAGCAGCTGCCAGTTACACCCATTGCAGTATTCCCCTTGTACAGCCTCAAAAGTACAAACTATTATAAAAGGCAATCAGCTGCAGAGAAGATTATATTTAAGTATAGATATCATCAGTGTTTTATTTTGCATGAGGTTTAAAATCATCTGTGTTTGTCCTAAGGCAGATTTAGACACTAAGGGTATTATATACTGGACTTATATAAGTCCGTGGGGAAAGAGAAACTAATTCAAATTGTTTTCCTGCTCTCACAAGGCAATAGGATCACATGACAAGCACTGCAGAAGAACTCCCTGCTAAAAATAGCAGCATTTTAAGAAGATATTTCAGTCCTGTCGTGAATTCATTAATTATTCACTTCATCTGCATTTTTTTTTAGGATCATCATAAATTTCTATCTTTGCAAGAACTACTTCCCCATACCCTGAAGGAGAAATTTTAAAATAGCCTCTCTTTATCTGGCAGGTTTGATGGATCATGACAGTGCTGTGGTACACATTACTAGCAGATCCTGAATCAGGGAGTTTGCATTGTACTGCACTCTGGATGAGTTAAATGGATTTCAAGCTCACAAATTCAATCTTCATTTTACAAGCTTATCCTATTTTAACTTTCTATTTACTTACAATACAGCTACATCCCTTCAAAATTCTCAGAAATTCATGCACAAACATGAGGTAAATGCTTCAACATGAATATGACAGGGCAATCAGGATGTGGGATCAGATAGGTAGGGTCATTAACAATCACCTTTTATTAAAAATAGAATAAATCATTTCTTTATACAGTCAAACCTCTTCCTTATAGGAGGGTTAGAAATTCTGGTTGTAGTCAGACACCATTGGAATAAATCAGTGTTGACGACTTTGGATCAGATACTGCATGTAATGTGGGACACTAAATACCCCTAATATCCTTCTTCCCATGCCTTGGGAGAGTCTTACAATAATGTCTCATCTAGTACCAAAAGAGACAGAAGTCAACATCTACCAGGATAGTCATTTATGCAGAATCACAGAATCGTCTGGGCTGGAAAAGACCTTTAAGATCACTGAGTCCGACCATTAACCTAACCCTGCTAAACCCACCCCTTAACCATGTACCACCACAGCCCTATTTAACACTAATACCTTATGTTCACATTTTAAATATGCATGTCTTTATTCCAGACAGAAATGAGCATATCACAGGGGTGAGGCTGGTCCATCCTGCCAACACCACCCCCTTGTCTCACCATCTTAGGAAAGGAAAGTCTTACTGAAAACCAACTCTCCCAGTATGGAAAGGATATGGTGTTTCCTGATCACATTTCTCCTTCTGGTTATGACTATGCATAGAAAGTCCCTCTATGCACATTTGAAGAGCAAGATTTAGCCCTACAATACAGCAATTTTTGCATACTTTTATTCTAGCAACTGACTTCTCTATCAATTTTCCAGTGCAAATATTTCCTTGCACCATACTTAAAGTTGCTGGACATCTTTGTCGAAAGCTGACACAAATACCAAACATACCCAACTGGAACAGCTATGGAAAGTAACCTGCATTCCTGTGAAAGGGGAGGCTGCCTGCCTTGCTCAAATCGTTTAATTCAGGGCCAAATAAGGAGGTGACCGCAAAATTATATAAATCAGATGTTGCACCACATTCCATGTGTTTTCTGTGAGGACTGTTCATAGAGTATTCAACTACAAAGTGATTGATTTTCATTTTGCTACGTTTCCATGCTTCACCTGTTTGTCTTTTTAAGCTGTTACTTCACAAAGAATGTTCAAATAATTGAATTGCACAAAGACACACATATCACAAAGACAAAACCCCAAGAAATATTTAATCCAGAAAACTGCTAATGGGTGGTCAGTGTTAGCAAGCTCAGAACCCATTTCCCTTTCTACATTCTCCATCACCTAACAAGAGAAGAAAATAATTATGTTATCCTATTTCCAGGCAGATTGACTAAAAGTCAGATTCTAAATTAATAAAGTACATGGTTACAGGCATCAAAATGAAAGTTCTGCTAGCTTGTTTTAAAATAGCTATCCATGTGAAGTAGTTAATTGTAAATAAGTAGAAACATGTAAAACACATGTATGCTGCTCAGAGAATGGTTTCATGACTCTAAGGAATGTAAGACATTTGTGCTGCTTGGTAGTTGAAAGAACAGTACAGGGTCCTGTATAAAACACATCAATACTCTTTCTTTCTTTCTTTTAAATAACACTGTGGAGCTAAAACTTCAATTTATTTTGTAACCTGACAAAAGAAAGCCTCTTCAGACTGTCATTCCTAAAATCACAGTAAGTACCTTTCATGCCAAGCAAACCATTCTGTTCTATGTCATGTATAGTCTTCCCTTTTGCAAGCTGCTACACTGATTCAGTAGAGACAAGAAAACACCTAATCCAGAAGTCCAAACAACTATTAACAATAAATATATCTGATGTAGTCAACATTTCCTATATACCTGCTGCACACTAACACCTTGTTAATCCACCCTGCCTTAATAAAAGTCATGTTTATATATATAATTTCCTGAGTAATTTCATGCAAATCCCTCATTGTGGCTACATGGTATTACTAAAAACTGCATATGTAGCGAAGGGAAACAAAGAAAAGCCCTATTCTCCTCTGAAGCAGTTTGCTTTGCTGTTCTGCCTACCAACACACACGTTTTACATGCCATTGGCCCTTCCCATGCTGTAATGCAAACAGCCTCTAGAACAGACCATGTTCAGCTAATAATTAACACTCATCCAGAGGTGTCATAAATAAAGGTCTAGCTTAGCATTTGCTGTGGTATTTTCTGTACTCTCATGCTAAGCCTGTTAGTTTCTTGCTGGGTGAACCACCTCCAGCCACAAAGAGAAGCCAAATACCAGTGTCCAAGCAGCACCACTCTCTTTTCCAAATTAGACCACAGTGTGAGTCAAGCCCTGCATACTATGGATCTGACTTGGTGTCACAGAGCTTTCTTTGATGAGTTTCTACAAGCAGTCTCTTTTCAGAATG